CCGCCATGGTTTGACGAAGTGGTTCAGACGTCATCCATCGCCAAGCATTGACCGGGGGCCACCCACCCCGTACTGGTACTGTTTTATCTGAGACCTTGATGGTCGGGACGTTACATGACGAAGTGGGTGTTCAGAGCCCCGATATAAATCCCATAGAACTTGTTTAGGACGAATTAGAACGCAGATTACGTAGCCAGCCAAATCGACTTTCCTCACTGCCAGCACTTCAGCCGTTATAGACACCTGGAAGTCAATCCCTACGGGCTCCTATTAAAACCTGGTAGAAAGTCATCCCAAAAGTGTGCAGACTACCATCGATGAAAAAGGGGGCAACATCATATTAATACTGAGGACACTCCAAGTCCGTATCACTGGGTGTCCGGATACTTTTGCGAGTATGTTTGCGAGACCGTGTAGCAGTAACTTGAAAAAAAAAATGTTTCCTTAATCTCGAAAATATAAAACCCAGATTTCCGTAAATTAGTCAATACGGGCAATGAAGATAGTTTATCTCAATGTAAAAATTGATAGTTTTGATTGATAATTCTATTTTTTATTCCAATAATTGAGATCATATTGATTCCACAAACAATCATTGGAGCTGGATATTTGTAGATAAATAGTCTTTGTTTTAATTAAGGATGCGAGATTTACATACTGTTTTAAATAATGGTTTTTATCATGTATTTTTCGATTACGTTGTATCATTAACAAAATTAATATATTTGCGTAGCAGATATAGTTTCAACAAGTTTATTGTGAGATGGAAGTAAAATAATCTGCAATTAAACACAGAACCAGATTTATTTCTGAATTTTATAATTATTTTGTATAAAAGTATGTACGAAGCTTTGATCTACTTCACTTCTAAGAACCGAAGTTACATCACCAAAACATTTCACATTCTAAAGTATTTTCTTAGTGTTGCCACTCAGTAGTAACTAAACATTAAATATAAGTTTGTAATTACTGCATTTCAGTTTTTTACATTAATGGATCATATATGCCTTATTATTTATAAAACGTTCTTCCTAAAGCTGTTCGACAGAATAATTAATTAATTTTTATTTTGTATTATTTTATTTATTTCCTCGTTTCCTTTTAAAAATCTCCACATCTAGTTCACACTATACTTTTTATACATTTGCAATGAATTCATTTGTACTCCTCATTCACACTATATATAATATCTTTAATATTATTAATTATTTCGCATTTTAAATTTAATTTTTTAGTTTTCAAATTTTATGGCTTATGTATTAAGGATTTTAAAAGAAATCAGAATTCAATTCATATTATAATAAATTATAATAATTATTAACTTGATGCTGAAGCAAATTAGTTTAAAAATAAGTTCTACTCAAGTAATAACTAAAATAACACAGTTATTAAGTAAAATCTTGGAAAAGATTATAATAATGTTTATAAATTCCTAATATTTTATAAATTTGAGCATTTGTTAGTGAACGACTAAGTAAGATATATTTTTAATAAACAGTGATACTTCAGTATATATCATAATCCGTTCCAGATCTTTGAACGTACTCTAGAATGGGCATACACCAAATGAACTTTTCCAAAAAAAATTAATAAATAAAGGAAAAATAATTAATCCATTCTTATAAAAAAATCCTTCGGTAGTATTATAACACTGTTCAGTATTAAAAATGTAGTGGATGAAATAGATACTGTACATAAATGAAGCACTGCATTGTATTTTCTGCTTTTTGGTTCAAAAATATTTTTTCAACGTGCTTTAAAGGCAGGTTATTTATTCAATAGTAATAAAGGGTATACTAACGGTTGTGGGCAGTCGTAGCTTTGTCTCGAAAGAGATATGGAAGTGCAGTGCGTACAATAGTGACTCATGGAACTTCGAGTCGTATTCTATAAAAATGTCTTATATGAATTAAAACTTTTCACATCCAAATGAGATGTATACCAAGTTGGATGAATTTCAAAGCATGCGTATACCGAGATACCACTATATCTGTATAAAATATAATAGCGGTTTCTTTTTATTAGTCTCAATAAACATAATTATCTCAAATATTTTTCAGTGCATAGCTATTCATGATGAAAGTATAATACTGTGCATTGTAAAGCTATTTATATAAATCCTGAAAACCTCACAAACAATCAGTTTCGTAAATTCCAACTAAATTCCGCTCTTGAAGATTTGGAACCAAATTCTCTTCCTAAATGTAGTACAAAGAAACAGATGCCATTCGAAAAAACAAATGTAGTGTCCTCCACGTTACTTTTCTTCTGCTTCGCTCAAAATTGTTTCTCTACGTTTCATGCTTGTAAAGAAAAAGTAAGAAATAATGATCTCATCACTAGTTGCAGTGAAAACAAAAGCTATTCATTCTTTTCGAATCTTTCTCTCCCATCACTTCTCTTCATCCGCTTCTCCCGCTGCTCTTTTTTTTTTTTTTTTTTTCGCTGCTTCTTATGATCTTTCCACCCCTTTTCTTTGCCGGTGCCTTACATGATGATGATCCCCCTTAATGACTTGATTATTGGCATCGATAAAAGGCGTTTCCATGGAAAGGGCGGAGGAAATCGCGGCTCCAAATGAGCCAATTAAGGAGAGATCAATTTAAACTCCTCCAATGAATAAAGTTCATGTTCATTAGGGAGACGCCTCTTCTGAAGCACTTTGCATCTCATTAATTGACGAGGGGAGGGGAGGAATTCTTTTTATTATTTTAAGATCTATTTTTATAGCTGTCCAAAGAATGTAACTTTTTTTAGCAATATTAATTTGCATCATTAGTAAATCAACGATTAAAAATAAAGATTTCTTATGTTGTTCATAACCTTCATTGTTAGATTAATGTTTTAATCTAATTAATTGCGTAAATAGCTAAGTAACTTTTCTAAAGAATGTTATCTTAATCCAGCTCTTAGCTTCAGTTACATGAATTTTATTTTGAATTTTTAACTCCTTATCAATTTTTTCAATTTCCAAGAGTTATCTTTTTATTTCTTTTAATTACTTTTTACTCATTTTCCTATTTAGTTTATTTCGGTTTCTATTTTTTTTATCTCTTATTTACTTTGTTTTCATTTTCAGGATTTAACTTCTCACTTGCTTATTACGCATACCTGCTGCTTTCAATTTCGACAACGCATCTGTTGAGAAAAAAAAATTAATAATAATTTCTTAGGAAAGATATATTCATTAAAAAAGTATTCCAAATATATTTTAATCTCTATTTTATTTGTTTCTGACGTGAAAAGAAATTAATTTTTATGTGAACAATTTACCCTTACTTCTAAACTTCATTACCACAGTTCAGTCTTAAAAATCATTCAAGTCATGAATTTCTGTCTCTGAGCCATAATCATGCAGTTAAATGTAAACTATTTAAAAAGCATTTGTAAAGCAATTTTAAAAAGCATTTGTAAAGCAATTTTAAAAAGCATTAAATTAAATTTAAAAAGCATTTGTAAATGTATCAATATACGTGTATCAAATAAATGATAATTTGTTGGTAACATTTGTTTTTAATTTTAGATAATTAGATCTACATTACTTAATTAGATATGCATATATATTGCTTGATTAGATCTGCATATACTTTAATACACGCATCTAATTATATCTGATGTTAATGACTGTGAGTTCCTTTCTCTCACCTGCTCTATTCTTTATTTATGTTTTATTAATTTATTTACATAGGCATAAATTTCTTCATTTCCTTTTAACGAATTGTGTCAATTTAATATCCTTATCTGGTCATTTCCCATATGTTTGTCACCTTTCTTCTTCCTTCTTTACTGGTAATTTGATTTCAGTTTTGAATGGAATTTTGTGTCGATTTATTTCCTGTATTTTTAAAGTTTGCTCATATATTCTTTGTGGCTGAAAAAAAATATTTTTACGTATTTTTAAAGTGTGCTCATATTCTTTGTGGCTGGAAAAGATATTTTCTTCCTCTGACTTGATTAACTTTCAGGGAGTTAACTGATTCTAAATCAGTAATTTAGCTAAAATTATATCTATAAATAAAAATAAACTATAAATAAAAACTATAAATAAAATTTAAACAGTAATGCAAACATTTAACTGAAAGCTAATTTCAATAGAATACTTAGATATTAAAAATGAAATAGAATCTGTGCCGTTCAGTTTGTTATACATTGAAATATAAATGGGCCAAAATAGAGATCAAGCAGTGTTTCAATTCATATCTGCCCAGTTTTTCACTTCAGAATGAATTGGCCAAGAGCTATCAGATTAGTTTTCATATAATATCTGAAAAAATAGGTTGTCATCAATAACAAACATTTTACCCGAAATATATAATTCTTTATTGTATTTCTTCTATTGTATTATTATTTATATAAATAAATTTTATATTTGACAAGTATATCCCTCATATATAATATAAACTAACACTTTTGGCAAAGGGCGAGAAGAAGATTTAAAAAAAAATGCTATTATTTTATCTGAAATGATTTTTAATGAATTTTCCAGAATTGTCTCCGTTCAATTACATATGCTAAATTTAATTAATTACAAAATTTATATTTATAATGATGGATTAAATAATTTTATATATAAATATAATTGAAATCCGTGATAGAGATTTTATTCATAAATTATTACTGGCATACTACTCATAGGAGAACCAAATGGTTTCATCAACAGTAAATTAATATTGTATATAATGTTTACCAGTTCAAAATCTGAGAATGGGAACTATTAAGAATGGATCACGAAATCAGGAGGATGAATTTAAAAAGCAAAATAAAATAACTAGTTCAAAGTTTATGAAAATATCTTTTTTATAGCAAAGCATATGACACTAATGCGGATCGTGAGGCAAAAGAAAAGTTTCAAGCTACTATGCCTGATATATTCGAGAATTTTTATCTCCGATTTTAGAATATGTTGAGGAATTTTTGCTTACCTTTATGTTCCTGAATTTATTTAATGTAGATAATGTGTTATTCACCTTAAAAAAAATTCAATTTTCTAAATTTTGCAGATTTTCATGACGGGCCCCTGGAAGTGATAAATTTACAGAGAACCTTTTGTAAGAACGACCACTTGTTGTCCTGACGATTTTGGTATGAACGCCTTTGTAATGCAATGGTTATGTTCAATATGCTCAATAGCGATGTTTATGTAATGTTTTAAGATATACTACGTACTCAAAAGTGGTCGCCTTAGGGAGGTAGTCATCACGGCATGGTTTACTGCCTAGCGTTTTCTTTACAACTATGTTCGTAGATATGACCTCATGTACACTTTATCGTGCTTATTTATATATATTTGTCGAAAACATTATTCTTTACTTTTCATGTAATGAGACATATTCATATACACTGTATGTAGCAAATTATACATCTAAAGGTAACTGACTACGTACTGTAAATGATTGTTTTATTTTTCTACTTATATTGCTTCCTGTATTCATATTTCATCAAAATCTTTGTTGTGATTTAAGTATATCTTTTTCGTTATAGTTAATTGTGACAATTCAAATGTCTATGCTATCTAAAACTAAGCAAATTTCTACTTCAGATCGACGTTGAATCATACAAAATTTTACTGGAACCTTTGTCTACAAAACACCAACGTCAGTGAAAAAATTACTTTTTGCATCATCATTTTAACTTTCAGAATGGAGTTTTTCTTTTCCTTGTATGTCTATCCGTTTCATTATAATTAATTTTGCCAATCCAAAAGTTTGTACTACATAAAACTAAGAAAAATTATACTTCAGACTGGCGTTGTTGTCTTATAAAATTTCATTGAAACCAATGTCTATTAAAACCAACGCTAGTAAAAAAAAAAATAATTTTAGCATTCTTGTAAATTTGAAAATGGGTAGTTTCTCTTCCTTATATCATGTTTGCTCATATCATGTTTGTGTTGCTCGGTTAGAACATCATTATTTGAAATTGTTTCCATCATTTTTCATTTGAAAATGCATTTTGTGTATTCCATGTTTTCCCCATTCCCCCCCTTTTTTTTTTCAAATCCTACTGTTAATTTACACTTATTAAACAAATATTCTTCAAGCATTTAACAAATTTATTTTCTATTTATTGCATTAAAAATGTTATTTTCAGGTATTTCAGCTTAGTTTTTTTACTTTAAAATAAATAATTAATTAATTTTGTAAATATAAGCCATTTTGTACGCGACAGTTCATGTGAAATTACCATGTTGTCTTCCAAAGTAAAGTAATTTATCTTCTTGATGTTATTTAACAATTTTGTCCCATTTTGTAATCGAAGCTGCTGCTAGATTTTTGTTGAAATAGCATAATTAATTATACCTAAAAACAGAACACTCTTTCATTGTTAAAAATAAATTTCATTCTGAATTACTCTAAATCCTTAGAAGAAGAAGCTCTTAGAGGAGGTCTATGAGCTGGGTAAAAACATGAACGTTGTTTTCCTAAGGATCCCGAGCGGAAAAAAGGAACTCAGCATTTTCGGAATCAAATCAAACTACGTGGGATTAAATTGCAATATTTTCCCAATATTTTGATTTTTATTTGTTTTCATAAATCTCCATTTAGAAAGCAAATTCGAAAAATATATGCACGTGGATTCACAAATGAAATTGAATGGCTTACGTTACATGCTCAAGTGTTTCTGCGGTTCAGTGCATGCGTGTTTCGTGTTTTACTGACATAAACATTTATTTGATAGAAAACAAATTTAGTGTTTGGAAGTAAGAATCTGTGCTCCTCGTTTAGATGCTCATCAAACTTATAATCTTTCCTGAAAATATTTAATCTGACATGAAGCAAATTGAAGTCTGTTACATTCATTTCGAGGTTGCAAGAATGAAAAACTTTGTTATGGAAACTCTTCTTTTCGGTTGGATTCTTGGATGTGAATCATGGGAAAATTACGAAAATTTATGAATCAAATTGGTTGTCTTAATTTTCAGTCTATAAATAATAATAGAGTTCAGCTATAAATTTTATTTCAGGAAGTGAGAGTTAAAATCGGCAACGAATATTGGAATGATGGATTATGTGTTTGACAGTTTTCAGATAAGAAAATATTTTTTCTTTATGAAGTGGAAATATTCTATTTTTGTTGTAAACAGAAAAGAAGTGTTCTGTATATGCAAATGATGTACATGATAGGTATCAGATAAGGAAATATTTTGTACTTTATGAAGATGGTATGTTTGTTATAATATTAAATTTTAGTTAACTTGCTTAATTGTAGTTAGTAAAAATACTTTTTTATGAATCTAAACGCCATGATTCATAAAGCTTTATATACAGATTTTTAAACTAAAGCTTCTTATAAATAAATTTGTTGCTAGTAATACGATACATGCACTTATTGGTAATACACATATAACTTAATAAAATAACATATGCACTGTATATTGCTATATATTGTCTGATCTTTATTAAACGTAACTTCTTTATTGATGTTAACTGTTTTCATTATATTGGATGATGTTTTGATATTTTCCTTTCTTGAGAAAAGTTGTATTAAGGATAAGTTACTAAAATTATGTTTAATGTGTGCTTTCTGTGTACTATCTGCATACATTTAAATTAAAGTATTATAATGTTCTGTGTCTAATGTTCTCTGTCAATCTTACATATATAGATAGAAGAACGTTCTTAATGCATTTGTGAATAGGTATATTATAATTACAAATAGCGTGCTAATGTATTGAACTTAATTACAAAAATTTCATTTCTTCTTTTCCAAAGCTCGCACTACTCTAATTCGTTCAATTAATTTAAAGTAACGTCCTTAGATAAGAAAATGTAAATAACTGTGAAACATTTCAAATTTTATATTATAGTGTGTTGCAATACATTGACTTGAAGAATAAATCCGTGCAATATTAAGATTCCTTATCAGGATCCTTATCATTATCTCCTTATCAGTTGGGCCTCTTTTGTCACTAAGATTGTTATTCTAATTAGCTTATAAAGATGTTCAAGTTAAACAAGTTAAATCTGCATTTTATTAATTGCTTTAAATTTAATTTCGTTGTTTCAGAAAGCAAAATTCATCCTATATAGTTTTGTAGGCAGTATTGAAATTCATGATTATTTATTTATTATTATTTTTTTATTTAATTATTAGGCAACCTAAGTTACAAGAAATTATTAACAGACTACAAGCAGAGTATATTACTAATTTTAAATATTAATAATATCAGCATATTATTTACACTTTCCAGCCCTGTTGTTTAGAAACAAATATCATATTACGTTAAATTAAAAACTTAATTTATCTTCTTGATGTTACAGAAATTATTCCAGCAATAATTAATTAAAAAATAAAATGATATTCTAATTTGGGCAACTATTAGTAGCTTACACAAGGCAAATTATTAATTTTAAATAAAATAATATTTCGGTAAATAATTTTAAAAAATAAATAAGGTTTCAAATTGTGATTTTAGCTGACTGTTCTACCCAGAATTACCTAACAATTCATCGCCCCGAATACAACATAGATAAATTTCATTTGCCCTGAATATCCGATAAATTGAAATGATGTAAAAACTATGACATCCGGCATTTTATTACGTCATTTCATTCAATTCAAGAAAAAGACAGAATCACCAAAATAAAAACAAGAGACCAAAACTGCTGTAAAAAAGGCTGAGTTTATTGAACATTAATCCAATCTTTTATACAGTCACGTAAAAATGCATTCTACTAGTGATAAAATGCATAAAAAGCAAATATCCAACAACGTATATCATCTATTACATCATCAGTTACATTACGTAACATAATATATCTTGCTGTTATTTATTATCTTTTTTATTATTATTAAGGAAAAGAGGCTGAGGACAGAAAAATTAAAGGCAAGAAGACACACACCAAACGATCTATTTTCACCAGAGCAATGTAATTGAGTTTTAGAAGGGGAAAAAATTACAAAACAAAAATTCAACGTTTCTGAAAAGCATGCTTCAATCGGTTATGGAGCAAAGAAAATGTTCAACCGTTAATAGAATTTGACTTTTCTGGTTTATAAGGCTTGTTCCTCTTTTATTTTTATACGGTTATTGATTTATGGGAATATTTTTTTTATTCCTTTAGCGTTCTGCAATGCATATAAAATTACGAATTATTTATATTTTTAGGTTGCTCACGTTCCTCACAATATTTCTGGCTTATCCTAATAATAAAGAGATCCCGCATTTCAGTCTTATTCAATATATTTTATCACTCTTTCCGCAAATAACTGAGTAAGGTTAATACGATACGTGAGTTGGATTAAAATATAATATTTTATACGCATTTTTATACGCTTCATCTGTACTATTTATTCTAAATAGTTCAGAGACTTAAAATGCTGCATGGCAGTTGAAGTTTGATGCGAAGAAATGGATTTATAGATAATATAAACATTGTCTTTAAATTTGATTGAAATTAATTGTCTTTAATCTGCATCCAGGGAGCATATTTAAAAGTTAAAGAGGACATAGATTAGCGAATTTTTGATAGATTGATTTGATTTAGATCATCTTATTTAAAAAGATAATTTTAACATAGTTAAGATGTATTATAACATACAGTGAATTCTGTTGCGGCGACCGCCTCTCTAAGGCAATCTTCTCTGAAAGTGACCAATTTCTGAGAATTTAAACAAAGTTTGCAAAAGATAAGGATCATCTGAAACCGCTGGTGGTTATCCTAAAAAACTTTGACAGTAATTATTACTAATATAGGTCCTGTTTATAACCCAACTGTTTCCTGTTATTAACCCAGCTATACTTGCTGTTCACTGTCAAAAAGGTCTTGCTCCCTTTAAATTTTTTTTCAACATTTTTTTTTTTTTTTTTTTTTTTTTTTTTTTTTTTTTACATTAGTTAACTTTTACATAGCAACAAGTTAGAGTTACATAAAAGAATTTCTACGCAAGTGTAATTATGAAGCGATAATTCTTTAAATTTTTAGTAAGATAAAATTTATGCCAAAAATCAACATTCAACATAAACAACATTATAATCAACATTCCGTACATAAAACCAGGAAAAACGCACGATGAAAATTAATACCTTTATTGTTTAATGGAATTAGTATTACGAAAACGATATAAATTTATAAATTAAA